AAAAAAGATGGAACCATATCCCACTAGTAATGATCCACGCCTTCACAGTTACGAACATTTACCGTAACTGAAGCTAAAAATCCCCTCAGCTTATTGGCTCAGGTGGCGAAACATTCAAACTCCGCATCCACTCACAAAAGCTAGGATCATCAAAGTGAACAAAACTACTTTTCAGCCTCATTCGTTGATCTGAATTCAATGTTCGAAGCTGAGGAAACCTTGCCTCCTGGTAGTTAGTGGAGCATTATTATAGCAAATTATTATCATATAAATAATAATAGATGATTGAGCAATTATCCAATTTCAAATTTTGTATTGTAGCTTGCACAGTTGCACTTACCTGCTCATAAGGAGGGTCTTTATGTGCTGGTATGAGGCGAGAGACAAAATATCGAGCCTGAGAGCTTCCCTCCTATAGCACCCAAAGGTAGCATTCATAATTACACAATCTAAGAGTAATTTGGAAATTCAATTTTTAATAGGTTGATAGAAACTTCTAGAAACCTTAAAAGCAAGAATCCTAGGAGCAGGAAATCTCAGCTCACTCAGCTCCTCAGCCAATGTTCTACACGCTGCCAAAGCCGCTGCACTCTTTCCTTCCTGTGCAGCAAGTTCGGCACCCTGAAGAACATAAATCAGTTAATGAAAAAGTTTCTCTATAAAAGAGATGGAAAAAAAAAAAGAGAGCCAGAATAAGCATTTATTGCATTGTCATTTAGGCGGAAAAAAAAAAAATTAATCAATTGGCTCGTGCATCAAAAGCCAGTACAAAGTCTTCAGAGAGTCGCAACAAATACTTTTAGAAGTTCACCTATAATAAATTACAAATCCACAACAAACATGATCATATGTACACCAAAAGCAGCAAATATATTGAGTGGAAGAGTATACTATGTAATTTGATATACAAAAATGAAGACACAAATGCCCCATAAAAAGACTTCATGATTATATCAAGTCGGTTTATAATCATAACTAAGGTGAGTTGCAACTAAAAAGAATATCAAAAGTTATGTGGAGACAGAACGACCCCAATAAGTATTATGGCTTAAAAGTTATGGAGCTTGGAACTTCGAACCACTTGAAAATGAAGCACGAATATGCAAAATCTCTAAGATTTCAACTGCGTTAAGGAATAATTAAACAGTGAGGTAAGGATGGATACCTAGACAGATTTATTCTAGTTACATAATATAGTATAGCTTCATCCTACTATTGTAATAGAACTTGAATGTAAGTAAAGTGGTCATCAAAGTAGCAATTATACATATATGTCCATCAAAACACGAGCAGTTAAACCTGTAAAGTTGTTTCTGAAAATGAGCATCAAAATGTTTAAAAAAAAAGGATGATAGTGGTGTTTCATTGTCATTATAAGCTAAAAATTGGATTGTTTGCAGAAGTCAGTGGTGCTAGCACTAACTCAACATGATCCACATACAATAAAGTCTAAGTATATATGTATATATAATTAAATATACGCCATGAAACTATAAGCACTTAGCATTGCAATTCATATTACTCTTCAATAGAAAAGAACGAACTGCAGTTCACATGTTAAGATCAGGAAAACGATGTGCATATGGAACGGTATAAAAGATAAATAGATACTTTAGCAAGCAAAAGCAAGAAACAGGAAACATAAATGGCGAAAAAAAGTTAATAATTTTCCATTAGCAAAGGTAAGCAAGAGTTAATCAAACCATGCATTATATGATTAGTGTTGTCTCCAAATGCAATAGTTTAACCGCACAAAAAAGGCTTGTATATGGCACATACCAGCCAAATGAATACATCAGTGCCATGATCAAGAACAACTGCAGCATCAGACTGCATAGCAAGATCATAAGCCGGCAGTTCCTCAAAAGTCCCACCTTCTCGATGCATCAGACATCGTGGAGCAAGCATACGAAGGGACAGATCAAAGGATGCATTCAAAAATAAAGACCGCAAAACAGATCTTTCATCTTCATGACCGATTATACTTCCCAAAAGCGGGCCTCTTCTAAGATGAAACAAGAGCTCGGGCAATAACGAGAGCTCTTTAGGGTACCGATAATAATGCTTCGACTTGGGAACCTGTGAACCAAACCGGCTCGCAACATCTTTAATCCTCTCATCCAGAGTCACTCGCATATCAACAGCATCACGGAAGTTTTTCGCTCGCAAAAGAGTGCGCTTTCCGATAAGAACAGCAGCTACTTCGCTCTGAACACTCTCCAGATAAGCCGAAATACTGTCCACTGTAGGCAGCCGAACAGTAATTACTCTCGAGATATCAGCTTGATATACATTCGAATAATGAATCCCAAATTGGAAGTATACAAAATCGCTCTTGATATCCCCACGAGTTTCCATTGATACCGCAAAACTCTGCGTCTCTTCAACGCTCAGCATCTGTATAGAAACAGAATTATCAGACTTATAAGACTCGTGACTGTCCACATGTGCCTCTTCTCCAGGACCAATGACTTGACTTACAAATATATTATCCGAACACCGGATTTCCACCAAACCATGAGAACCTGCAGCCCTCGTGGACGCTCTCTGTAAGTTCACACCAAATGCTTCCCCAAAGTCATCATGAAGGATCAAAACACCTCCCGATGATTTTGCAAGAGGCTGCAGTATAGGAACACGAACAGGGCAAGTCCCAGCGCAAAGTATATCGACAACTGTATTACGACGTTGAGCTTCACGGCCAAGAGTCTCCATCTTTTTAATTGCAGTTTTCTCCAAATACGGATAGTTTGAATGACTCATAGAATGTGGAACTGAACCAGGGCCATAAGTGTTCGGCCCACCGGCGCACACAATGATCCTGCTATTTCCACCGGGCCTTTTCACAATCCCTCTCGACATTTCAGCTGACGGTCCCTGAATAATTGCCATTGCAACCTTCACAGCCGTACCTAAGCAACGATCTCGAGAGACTTCTGGAAGGTTCAGCTTATATGGCGTCAATGATGACAAGATCGCATGTGCTACCGGAAGAGAAGCATGGACTGGCGACAAATATATCCCACTTCCATAGATTAATGCCCTTAATTCTTCTTCGCTCGGTGATTTATCACCAGGAAGCACATCGGCAGATGCCATAGATTCTTCAGAGAAATCGTAAACTGAAACCGTGCGGCCATAGAGCACAATTCCGATTCTAGTTGTTTGGGGTAAGGAATCTATAAATGCATGCAAGGAGCTCTGCAGATGCTGCAGATGTTGTTCGTCTAAACACTCGTCTATTACCAGAACAATCGGGGCAGATATTCTAGATTCAGATACAGGAACAAAGCCAGGTCTTTTGTTGCTAGTTCGGACATAATCAACCAAAGGAGATGATAGTTCGGGGAGATTACGGAGCTCTTCTTTGCTTGGAGCTATGTATTCACCTTCACTTCCATTCAAGTTCCTACATATTATGCATTGCCACTGCCTGAACCAAGTAAGATATTGCAGTAAAGATTGGCATAAGCTCCACAATTTTGGCAGCGATGTGGATCGCGCTGGATTATCTGAGGACCTAGAGAAACATCCCTGCCAGGAGAAACTAATGCACCAAATCCTAAGCTAGGCACATTAGCCAGTTTCTTTTGTTTCAGAACCTGAGGGATTAAACAAATACGATGAAAATGCTAACCATTAAATTACAACTAACCATAGAGTAACAATGTAATTGATCTTCAGATTCAAAGAAATGAGTCCGAATTAGTCTTTAAGAAGAATCAAGAAGCCTATCTGAGCATACCTTGGATGAAA